CCCGGCCCGGCTCCTGCCCGCCGCGTCCCCGCGCTCGCGCCCTCCCCAGACCCGCCTGGACCCGGCCCCCGCTTCCCACGCTCCCGCGCCTCCCGAAGTCCTACCGGTTTCCAGCTCAGGGACCAGCTGCGGCCGCCGCCGCCGCCTGCGCGAAACTCGGCTTCCCAGAAGCCGCTCTGGCCGCCGGCCGCGCGCCTCCCAGGCCGCGCCGGATCCGCCGCTCCCCCTGCCGGCAGGCAGCCATTTCCGACAGGCGACTGCGGAACTTGCCGAAGTGCGCCGGGCCGGAAATGGCCGAAACGGTGTGGGCGAAACGTTCGGAGCTTTGCCGACTGCGCCCGAAGGCCGCCGCAGGGCTCACGGGGTCGAAGCCGCAGGGCCGGCGCGGGGGATTGTGGGAAGCGCGGGGACAAGGGAGGACTGGGGGTCCCGCTCCGCGACTCGGGACCCGCGTGGAACTAACGCCGCCCCGCCGGCTCGGGAACCCTCATCCGCGAGGTGCGAAGAGAACGCTCCTTTCTGGTTAGCAATGGAACCAGGGCCCCCGCCACTTCAGCAAGTCTGCAGGGAGCCTAGAGCCAGCGGGGTGACATGCAAGGCACACCTTCCCCAGTCTAAAAATAAACCCATCCCGGGAAGCGACCCTTCCTAAATGAGGTGGCTGTAGTTTTGAAAAAGGCAGGATTGTATGGATGGATGCTTTGTAAAAAATAATCCCGGGGCTTTGCAAAAACAACAGGATAATAGGCTGGGTGGGTTAAAGGATAAAAAGGCCACTGTTAAAGCCAACCCCTGTGCACCCAAAAGTGCACATCTGCTAACCCCAAGGAACTCATGACTGTCTCTGTCCACGGCTGGCCATCAGGAGAGACTAACTGCAGTATAATCTAAGATCAAAAATCAACATTTTTTTTTTCTGAAGTTTTAATCCCCAAAGGACAGAGTTTCCTCCCCAGGAAACCCCAGACACAAAGCCAGGTTGACTCAGGTCCTTGTGCTTGGGTGGTCTGGTACTTTAGGAGGACTGCACCCCGAGAGCTCCACAGCTGCCGACCCCTGGCCCTCGTGGCCTTGGCGAACCCAGCCCAGAGTTTAGCCAAGAGGCTGAAAAAACAAGGAAGACTGGCAGGATTCCCACTGGGGACAGTTAGGGTTAAGGATTTCATTTACAAAACAAAAGTGCTAGCAACCTGTCTCAGCTCTCCATCCCCAAATCAGCCCCTCTTTCCCTCTGAACCTTCGTCCTTTCTTTCCTCTCCCAAAGGAGGAGCAAACTTTACAAACCAGAAGCAGCCCAGAAAATGAAAATGGAGAAACTGTTATCCACACAATATGAATTATTTTTTCTGTATCTCTCCTCTAGAGAGCTCCTACCCTGACAGCTCATCTGCTTGGCTGGCCTCCAGCGGAGTGTGGCAGCAGCAGGCAGGAGCCTGGCAGTGTGGGAGGAGACCTGACAGGAGACAGGGAAGAATTTCCAGGTGTTGGTTCATCTCCAGGCTGGCTGGACATGCAGATACCTGCTCCCTAGAGGAGCCAGTCCTCTTATGCATTAAAGCAACTTAACACGTCGTTGCCCCTAAGATCAACTTACTTGACTTTAACAATAACCCAGCATCACAAAGAAGTGGATATTTACCAGAAACTTGGAAGACCCGCAACTTCACTGTCTTCTTGCTGCTTCAGCCTGCTGCTGTGCATCACCTGTGACAGATCCCTTGCCACAGCACTCCAGTCCTGGTTTTCCCGTGGGCCTCTAGGTAGCATCACGGCATCATCGTCCTATTAGTGCATATTTTATGAATACTTAATTGCCAGGCAATAAGCTGCACCCTTTATATGCACGTCTTATTTTAATCTTACTGGGAGGTATCTATCTATAGACAGGGAACTGAAACTTCAAGAAGCTAAATAAATCAGGGGCCCAAGACCACAATTTTTGGTGCAAAGGACAGATAGGTTCCAAGTCCTCCTCTGAACTCCATAACTGATGTTACTGTTATTGTACTGAGGGTTAAACCCAGGGCCTTTGCACTGAGCTATATCCCCAACCTTTTTCAAAAATTTGAGCTATGGTCTGACTAAATTGTCCAGGCTTGGCTTGAACTTGCCATCCTCTGCCTCAACTTCCCAGGGTGCTGGGATTATAGGCGTGCACCACCATACCTGGCTTCCTTATTCTTTTATTGTACTTTTTTTAAGCACTGGGCATGAAACCCAAGGCCTTGTGCATACTAGGCAAATGCTTTGCCACTGAGCTACATGTCCAGCCCTTTTCATTTTGAGACAGGGTCTCACTATGTTGGCAAGGCTGGCCTCTGACTTGCCATTCTGGTGCTCGTTTCAGGCTCCCAGGTAGCGCCACCACCTCTGTTTCTACTTGCAGATTCTTAACCAGAATCATTAATTATCTCACATGGATGTTAAACTCAGTATGTCTCACACTGAACCCTTACTGTCCATGAATGTCCTTGTTTATAATGTTTCCAGGCTGGGCTTGAATTTTCCTAACTGAAAATCTAAACTGGTATCACCACTGACTTCTCACTTTATGCCCACATTCAGTTTGCAAGAGTTAAAACCTTGACCTTATGGTCTCTACCTTCTATCTTTTGCAATCCCATATCTACTTCACTGCTTCCTCCCCTAGACTGCTGTCTCAGTACCAAAATTCCTGGCTTGAAAAGGACGACCACATTCCCAGTATGTCTCTTTAAGAAAGAAGCCAATGCAACAGGATACACAATGAAGCTAGTCTTCATTTGTCATATCAGTATTGGAAGTTTTATGGTATTTATTTTGTTATTTTTAGTTTGGAACTTAATCTAAAATGAAGTTGTTTTTTGACAGTTACATGTAGAGATCTTTATCTGCACCAAGAAATTCAGGAAGAGCAGAATCTACTATGGCTTTGGTTCACAACAGCAGGAACCTGTGGGTCTTCTCTCCGTATAATCGTGGGGACCCAACATCCGGTCTCCAGTCTCTTTTCTTTCAACTCCTAATTTTAAATTCCTAGAAGACAGACATGACTGACCCAGCTTGGGTCACACGCCCCAGATCGGTCAACTTCGGCTAAGCAGCAGGTCATTCAAGACTAAATAGGACTACTGGGGGCCTTGCCTATAAAAGGCACTTATTCCCAAAAGAGAGAAAAAAAACAGAGCCCACAGACAGGGGAAGCAAATAAACCCATGAGTGTTGAAGGGAAAATCCTCAGAGGATTTCAGCTCTTGTTATGGTTTAGATCTAAAATGTCCCCCTGAAAGCTTGTGTGTTCAGAGACAGTGTTTTTGGAAGTTGGATCATGAGTGCACTAACTTCATTAGTAGGTCCTCATTTGATGGCATCATTGGGAGTTAATGAAAATAAGAGGCAGGGCCTACTTGAAGGGAGTGGAGCTAGGGATGTGACCTTGGGGACTATATTTAGTCCCAGCTCCTTCCCCTGGGGTTCTCTTACCCTCTCTATTTCTTGGCTCCCATGGGATAAGCAGCTTTGTTCCACCATGTCCTTCTGTCATGACATCTGAACCTCACTACAGGCCTACAAGCAACAGAACCAACTGACTATGGACTGAGCCGTTTGAATCCACAAGCCAAAATAAATCTCAAATTCTTTTCCTCAGGTATTTTAGCAAAAAGTGGACTAACACAGCTCTGCTCTCCACATGCCCTGCTGTCATCAGATGTCCATGAGATTGCATATGGAGCCTTATTACAGAATATATCCTTTGAGGAAAACATTATTTAAGCTAACATGAATAGTTTTCTATTCCTGACCACTGAACATTCCCTAACTAAAGTTCTAATAGTTTTCCCTGAAAAAAACTGAGTAGTTATTATGTGCCAGACATTGCTCTGAACACCTGTCATATGTTATGATTTATCTAAAATAGCCCCCTCTCCGAGTCTCACATGTTTGGAAGGTAATTGGATCATGGGGTGCTGTACTCATCCATGGACCCAACCATTGATAAATTCCATGGCTGAATGTACTGCTAGGCGGTAGGCCTGGTTGGAGATGGGTCACTGGAGTCTGACCTAGAAAAGTACATTCTTAACACCAGCTCCTTCCTTCTCTTTTTGCTTCTTGGCTACTGTGACTGGAGCAGATTTTTATCCACCGTACCCCTCTGCCATCTGTTTCTGCTTTGCCGTGGACTGAAATAGTGAACCAAAATAAATGTCTCTCCTTCAACTTATGGATATTGGGTATTTTGTCCCAGTGATAGGAAAGTGACTGTGGCTACATATAGTATCTCATTTAGTCCTTTAACAACACTACCATGGTTACTCCACTTCACAGAGGAGGAAACTAGAGCCCAGAGAGGTTAAATAACTTGCCCAGTCACACACCTGGAAAGTGGTAGTGCCAGGTTTTGGACCTGTGCAGTCTGACTCCAGGAGAGCCTGAAATATTAACAACTGTGCTATACTATAGTTAAGAAAAATACTAATAGCACTGTGAATTGCACCCTGCATTCATGGATTTGATTAAAACATCTGATTTGTTCAATGAGTTCAAATGCAGAAATGATAAAAAAAATTGTCTACACAAATTGGTAAGCATTTAAGTTTTTCACAAGGGACACAGTTTGAGTTGTAGGTGTTAGCGAAATATAAATGCATGGTGTAACAAAATCGTACTAAATAAGACTGTGTTCTTTTACTGGGAAATTATTTTATAGATGTCAGGAAAAAAAATACATTTTGCAAGAGTAGATTCTCAATGATTATTTTTCCTAAAATCTTTAAAATACAGCAGAGGCCAGACATGGTGGCATACACCTGAAGTCCTAGCACCAGGGAGGCTGAGGCAGGAGGATGGCCATGAGTTTGAGGCCAGCCTGGGCTACATAGTGAGTTCAAGGCCAGCCTGAACTACACAGCAAAATCCTGTCTCAAAAAATAAAATAAAATAAAATACAATTCAGCAGAACAAGGTTTTAGTCCTATGGAAGGAGGCATTGATGACAGAAGTTCCTAAGCCTTAGGGAGGGAGGTACTGGTGGTCACTTTTGCATGATGCAACTTCTGGCCAGGCCCAGAAGCCAGTCAGCAGAGCTTCCAGATCAATCACAAGGGAGCCACTGGTAACCCCCAGCAACCTTCAAAAGGTCTGATTCAGGAATTATCAGTGAGTTTCATCAGATAAGAACTTGTCCAATCTGTAATGCTTTGATTGCAAAAGAAAGTGCTGACTGCCACTATTTGGAGATCTTTTCTATATAGACCTTCTTGGGCAATTTTGTGGCTTACAGTTAGAACAGTGAATGACAGCTTCTAGATGGGGTCGGACACTACGCTTCTCTTCAGACTCTCTGCACCTAAAGAGACAAAAGGTCATCTTCTGAGCCTCTAGGGACAGCACACATCACCTGCTAGGTGGCTCACCCTCAAAGTCCTGGCTTTGATGTTACTTTCTCGTGGCTGCGTTGTGTCTGGCAAAAGGCAGGGCAGTTTGGGTGGTTCCCTGATAATTTGTGGTAAGAACACTGAGTTAATCCCAGCTCTAAGATAAAGCACAGTTTATTGTCAAAAAACTATGTGTGAGCTGTGTGTGGTGGTGCATGCCTGTAATCCCAGGACTCGGGAGGCTAAGGAGGGTAGCCCCGAGTTCAAGGCCACCCTGGACCACATAGTGAGTTTAAGGCCAACCTGAACTACACAGTGAGATCCTGTCTCAGTAAATAAAGAAATAAATAGCTATGTGTGGGCTAGGGGTCTAGCTCAGAGGTAAAGCACTTACCCAGCATGCATGACGCCTGGATGCCAACCACTGAATAAAAAAATCAAATTAGCTATGACCAACAGTGGATATCAAAATGAAGGCAGCATGTTCTTAGGTTGATCCTAGAAATTCTACATAATGATACAAATGCTCCTCCCTGAGGCAAACATAAAGGCACCTAACATTTCTGCTGAATTATGTCAGTGAGTAGCAAAATGTGCTTACTTAGACACAACGTGCTTCAACACGGTCTGACTGGTTGGAGGATTTAGTGTAACAGCTATAACCAGAGAAAGAAGTAAAAGTTAGGCAGAGTATTGATGCCCGAGGCCCAGTGTCACATTCATGTGCTACTGTATGATTCCAGGAATGTCCTTATACCAAAAACATTATCCACAGATTCAAAAAATCAACTGCTTTCTACTTTCTCTTTAAAATACCTTGTCTGACTGAGCCATCCAATTGCAAAATAGCACAAAAGTTCTTAACATCAATTAACTTCTTAGCTAACCAATTTGGCTGTGAAATCAAAATGGAAAGCACAATTTTCAAAAGTAATCACGATATATACTTTCAAACTACATATAACATAGCTGGACCTGGTGGCACACTCCTGTAATCCCAGCACTCTGGGAGGCAGATCAGGATTGCAGGTTCAAGCCCAGCCTAGGCAGTATAGCAAAACCCTGTCTCAAACTAAAACAATAAATAAATAGGGCTGGGGATACAGCTCAGTGCAAAGGCCCGGGGTTCAATCCTCAGTATCACACATACACATACACATACACACACGCGCATACACACACACGCACACACACATACACACAGGCTGTTAGCACCATACCTGAAATATATTAAGCAAACATGAAAACCCTGTAAAGGTTCAAGTATCACAATACA